TTTGTCTGTGGTTTGTTTAAACTGTTTTGAGCAATAGCATCATATGACCGATGTCACAAACCCAGCGAATCAAGAAGGCACAAGGCTCAGTGACGTGCTCTAATAAAAACAGAAACTAGAGCTCCTATGTCAGAGTATCAACGTTTTCAGGCGTCCACACAGTGCTGGATCAGATCCATACTCAGATGAATTCGTGGGAGCTGGCGACACCAGATCATTCTGTCTCTGGAGCTGTTTTCCATCTGTTTATGTGGACGAACACTGCATCCGCAACAAAACGACTCAAATACGTACTAGTGTGGATGGGGCCTGTGGGATAAAAATAAATAAATATGACTTGACAAGGGAACATAGGGCTGAGAGAACATAGGGCTGACCTCAAAGGTAGCTGCTGACTTGAAAGCTCCACTTCATGACATCACAAGGTGGAACAGAGCATTCTTAGTTTGGGGATGCAGACAGACTCAAACATGTGACTGAAACAAAGCAGAACTCTGGGTATGTATTTGAACTAACATAGCTTAAAGCTCACAAGAGTCAATTTTGTGTAATATAATAATATAGAGGACCTCTAACTATGCAACCATTTTCATCTTGTAATTATGTTAAGTTTAGCATTTTAACACTGCGGCATGTGGTGCAGAGCAAATCATTTTTATTCTACCTGAGGAACCTCACAAAAGGACTAGCATCTGTTGTGTTGCTTGATATGAGATACGAACATTGCTTTCTTCAGGGGGAGAGAAAAACAGGGATCGATTAATCACCCAAGTGTTAAATATCCCATTTTATACGATGCATCTGTTGGTGAAAGCCAAGACAAACAAAAACAAATGCTTAATTAGCTTGCTTATATCAGACTGCTGTCAAAGCATCACCGTATTTCCCCTCAAGCTAATTTTGTAGGTTTCTTCTGCCCGTTGGCCACTCGGTCCGTTTAACCCACTAACAGGCTTTGTGAGAAAACACCTGAATACAAAATGATCCAAGTTAGAATTTATTATTACCACTTATATTTTTTTGCTCTTTATTATTGTGATGTGTGAGCTCCTGTGTCCAAATAATTTTCCTTGTGGATCGATAAAGTTTGTCTAAAGTCTTATTTGTTCTTGATTGGGATCTTGATAGATAAAGACATTAACACAGTAATTACTACTATTAATTAATTATGAAGAAAATTATGTATTTTATCATACATTATTGCAGTTTGTATGCCACACAACGCAGAACTGAAGTCAGTGCACCATGTCGTATGCAATTATACTGACGCAAACAGTTCCGAGTACAACAACGGAGTCTGCTGGACGGTAATTTTCTATTCAAAAAAACTACCCAATGGCACTATTGACAAAGGTGTCGTTATTGCAAATTGCGCATGAACGAGTTTGCAAATGTACACTACGTTCAGAATTAAAGTAAAATGTCACTTTAACTTTCATCTCTTAAATTTTGGACAGGGACCATATATTTGTCTATTATTTTGAAATGAAATGCAATTTATTTTCTCAAGACATTTTTCGAGACATGAAAAGAGCTTGGGTTTAAAAGTCACGTCTGTGTGTATTATTAGATTAGCCAGGCTAGTGCCACCAAATTCCTCCGCTCAATTTAATTTCTCTTAGGTCAGGAATCAGAATACACTAAACAGTTCGCAAAAACCCCGGAAGTGCGAGTTCGGACACCAATCATCAGCCAATCAGCAAAGAGCCAGACATTCTGTGTTGGCAACGATTCCCGAGATCGAGGTTTTAAAGCCGGAACGAGGAGAATGTTTTGTGAATTTTATCAAGGGGAAAGATGTCATTGCCCTTCTTCCTATGGGATTTGGGAAAAACTTAATATACCAGTTAGCTATACATGTTTCTTTTGGGGCAAATATCGTTATGCGATTAATTGAGATTAATTTATTACAAAGATTCATAGATACATAAATACATAGATACATACTGGAGGAGGAGCAGCTCTAAGACATACTGCTGTTGTGACCTCAAGCAAGACACTTCACCCACGACAACTCAACCCAAAACATGCACTATAGGTAAAATCCTCCAGCTACGGTAGATTTGAGCCTTGAGTCACGTCTCCTTGTGATTAGTTTGTATATAAAATAAGTTTGCACAATAGCTTCTGTCATAAATAAATATAAAAAGAGCCAGTCTTTTGAACAGCTCTTTGAAATGAACAGATTCAAAAGTTCCCAAAGTTTCATCATTACTTTGTATCCAAAACATTCACTTTCAGTTTAGTCTCAGTGTGAACAATAGGTCTATATTACGAAATGACCAGCTTTGCAAAACATAAACACACAAAACTAGAGCAGCTTCATCATGTGTAATTACAGAACATCTCACAGTCCAAATCAGAAATTAGCCAGATTTGTTACTATTGTTCTAGTATACTGTAAAACCATTATTTTATATCTATTGTGTCTCCACAAATGGGTCTATTTTTCATCCTAGCTCTCCTATATGGTGATAATTTACTGGGAATGAAGTAATTGAGGAGGATGTAAATATCAGGGTGCTTAATAGACTTGGAGAGCCTGAAAACAGTGCATTATAAATGTCTCTAAAGAACTGGGACATTAAAAAAATCCTGTGCAAATATCTCAGTGCAGCTTGGGTCTGTTGGGAGGTCTGCACATGAGCTGATGCTGCAAATTATATGAGACAGAAGCAATTTTGGGTTATTTTTCTCACACACAAACTCCACTAAGTGATATGAATTAGATTAAACCAGTGGATATTGAAAACCACATATTTCCTGTGCAAAGTCAGCAGCTTTAATTGATAATGCAATTTTGGTTTACTTCCACGTTTAACTTCCATGCAACATAAATAGCACACGATCAGTTAATGTACAAGCATTAGTGGAAATGGGGACTTGATAAGTAGGTTTTAACTGAGCGTTTTAACTCAGCGCCAAGGAGCATTTAGTGAACACTGTAAATCTGAAAGTACTATCCATGTCTGCTGAAGTTGTTTAAGCTGGTGGAGATGTTTATTTTAGACATTTGAATGCGAATTGTTGAATAATTTTGAGGTGTAAGGTTATGATATACATACAAACACACAAAACAAAATTCTCTTCTGCATTTGACCCATCCATCTTTGCCACTTCAAAACTGTGGACTCTACTGTGAGAGAGGTTAGTGAACCATTTTGAGAACTTGAGCCAACTTGGTGAATGGGGCATTTCGGAATAAAAAAAGGAAACTCACCCAGACACGGAAAGGACAAGGAAACCACACACAGAAAGCCCCGACTTTGTAGTTGATTTGTTGTTTTCTATGTATGCTAAAAGTCATAATCAGCCTTTTAATGTTGGCCTTTATCTATGTTTAACTGAAACAGACGTAACTCAACTGTGCCTTCTCCAGTTACCCTACAACAGTCCTTCTCCAATAGCGTGGAACATGTCAGGGAACGTGCTTTTTTTTTTTTCTTTTGCCGTACTAGAATAAAGTGTAATGGCACATCCATTACAGTGGTTGGCAGTGACGATCTCATTGTCAGAGTGTGCGCAGGGAGTATTAGCACTATAGTTTTGGGGTTTTTTTTTTTTGCACCGAGCATATGTACACACAGCACAGACAACAGAGAACAAACTGTGTATAAAGTGTATGTAGTGCTCAACGTCACTGTAACTACCATGGGAACCGAGGAAAGACCGCGATGTTTACTGTGTCTAAAAATGTTAGCAGAGGACAGCATGAAGCCAAATAAATTACGTTGTTGCTTAAAGACATTACACCCCAATCATGCTGATAAGCCGCTTGGGTTTTTTCAGCAAAAACATGCTAAATATTGGAGCTGATACTGCCTGCAGCGTTAGACATGGTTTTTATCATGCTATGTGACGCAAGTCCTTCGAACTATAACATGGACATCATCAAAGACGAGTAGGACACAGGAGACTCATGACGCAGGTGAGCGCAGCACAAATATGGATGGACACATGATGTGTGTGTCCTGGGAGTTGCTTTGGAGACGCGACTTAAACGTTTGCTCTCGTATGTAGGCTACTGAAGGCGAGGGTGCGGTTTGTCCACGTTTGGTAGTGCTTCTGTGGAGTGGTGGTGGTGGTGGTGGGGGTAACTGAGAAGCACTGCCCTACAGTCTGATGAAGACCCCAGTGATAGACATGTCTCTCTCCTCTGTTACATTCTGAAAATATACATGTATCTGTCGTATTAACTCAAGTATTACTATAAGAACCCCTGTTTTGACTCTCATTTCCATAAATATAATGTATATATATGAGTGTCGTCTCTTATGACTCACTTATCTGAAGCTTTGCATGTTAAGTGGAGCATTCTGATCAGCAAACTTCGAATCAAGCATCTGTTCACCTGGATCTGGAGTCATTCCTTAACAGTTCTTCATTTATTTAACTTTAACAACCATCTCCAGATATCAGAATGTCTTCATTTTGTACAGGTAACCTGATTAACATGAGAAAATGCAAAGCTATGAAAACAATTTATAGCGTGGGTAGTGTGTTTGCACTGAGGGTAAATACCTGCATGCAAAACATTCTCCACTACAAACTATTAACAGGTTTTGGCAAATGATTATTATTTTTTTTTTCCTGATGACTTTGGTGAAGACTTTACATTCAAATGACTTACTTATACTTAAATACACAAGTTGCTTAATTGCTACTCGACAGACCTTGAACCAATATACATAACCCCTGGAATATGTCTTGAAGCACCAATCTACCATCTTTACATGCATTAACCCAAACCCCAAAGTTGCTAGGCAAACTGCACCAGAATCTAAACAATCCAGACAAAATTTATGTATCACTCTGTAAGCTTTATATTTCAGTCTGATAGATTTTTCTGAGTTTCAGCGGTATAACAATTATAAGCCTTTGAAGTTTAGAAATCATGTGTCGAAAGATGCTTTATAGACCTTACCTTACTTGCTCAAATACCCCTCACTGCTAAAAGGATCCCCAAGTTATATTTCATTGTACTTCTGAATAGTTCTTACCTCTCTTAGACAGCCCATGAAATTGTTGCTGACTGGAGATCCTGGTAGGTCTGCTGTGCTCGGGCTCCCACCCACGTAGAAGAAATCATCTGAACCCAGCATGGTGTAGTCTTCCTGGGTGTACCCGGTGGTGGTGAGGATGCCATCCACTGAGATAGTGACCTGTTTGGAAGCAACACATAGCCAAAGCCAGACCATTACATTCTTGAATTCGACTTTGCACCATTATAAAAACACACCTCCATCTTCCTTGGTCTGCATTCAAAGTCAAAGTTATTTCGATTTTTTTTTTTTTTTGAGTTGGTTGGAGCAATCGTTTTGGACAGTTTATTTGGTTTTAGAATGGAATTTTAGCCATAGGATTCACAGGACAGGTAAAGAAAATATGACAGTTCGCATATTTTCTTTATCTTTGATGGGGGTAAGAATGGTTTTCGTACATTCTGGAAGTTTCAGGTTGGGGGTAGGGTTAGTACAATGTTCAAACCAAGGACAAATTGATCCGACTTGTCTTAGGTTTCGGGATTTTTCTACTTACTGCAGACATAGCACACACACACAACACCGTCACACATTCACGCACTCTCCCCTCTCTCACATACAACACAACTAACAGATCCACGCAGCATGCAAAACAAAGGGAAAAGGAATCTCACACAGACGTAATGTGCAAACCAAGGCTGGTCCACTGTTTCGAAGGCAAATTAAAGACACGTAATTGAACATGGAAGGGAGTAAGTGGATCGATGGTGCCAGACGAAGCGGTGAGCAGCCAGTGTGCAGGGGACCGTGCACAAAGCCATATCCAGAGGCCCATTTTCATGTACACTCTCGGAACTGCTTACGCCGATCTGATCAGGTTTAGCTTCGGTACACTGTTCAGGCTTTTGTGAAATGTTGATTGTTAGTTTAAACTAGTTTGTGTTCATAAACCATGTTGATGTCTGGGTATAGAATATGAATAATAACTGCTACATACCAAAAAATTTGCTCATAAAACTAATGTCTACACTAGTTTGGATACTAACCAATGCATGCTTCATATTTTGAGGCCTGGGCTCTTTAATTATAGCTGGCCATGTATACTACCATGTATCCTATTACCTAACATAAATAGCAAAAAATCATGTGATAATATAAGAAGAAATACATTGTGGATTAGAGATAAAGTCAGTTGTTTTTATAAATGTGCAAATGTGCGATGTTTATTTGAAAGCTAACTTCAAAACAACCAGCTCCCCTAATGTTTAAAAAAGGTTTATTTCACTATTAACCTGGACTTTCCTTCTAGAAAATTCACTGAATACAAGATCGGCAAGCTAATTCGTCAAAGTGTAATGAATATGAGCTGCAGGGAGGGTAGCGGTCAACACACCATAGTCACAAACATGCCACAAAACACACAGGGAGGCAGTGAGGGTGGCTGAACATGGAGGTGAGTGGATTAGAGTGTTAGTGGTTACTGTGGTAACGGGGGTCACATGGTGGATGGAAGCGTGGGCATGCCATGCGCCATAGTGAATTGGAAACAACTGTCAGAGCTCCCGCAATGGACTTTTAAGGGTTGCCATTTGTTGAAGTTTTGGTGGCTGAGAACCTCTTTAGAATTGTGGCAAGCTTCTGTCAGTTTTGGAACGACAGTCCTCACAAAAAATGGGGACTTGTAGTGTGAAAAAATCAAAAAATAAAAAGAAGTAATTGCCCTGGAGTTGGTAAATTTCAATTGTTTTGTAGTTACGTGTTGGTAATCTGTAGTTATGTGGAAGAAAGAAAGTAGAAAAAAGTAAAGTGATAAAAAGGATGGGGTATCGTGGGGTAAAAGAGAAGGTCGAGGGCAGGTCGGGGGGTAGGAAATTGAGAAGAAGCGAAGAAAGAATTGCCTGGTATACAAACCCATCTCCTCATTTTTTGATAAGAGTGTCTAGGATGGAACTCAAAAGAGAACGTATAAAATAAAAGAAGAGAGGGGGAGGGGACACACGGCAAACCCAAAAAAAAGACAATAAGAATGATATCTACCAGACAATGTAGTTTGTTTACCATAGCGTGTCCAATGCCTGATTGCTTTCCGGAAAAAGGGAAGAAAGGAAATCAAAAGAATAGTGAACAAAAAAAGGTTGTTAATAATGATGGTCGAAATTAAATCCAAAGATGAAGAAGTAGGATGTTAGTTAGTACATTAGTTGGTTAGATATTGTTAGTATAAAAAAAATGAATGAGTTAGTGGCAAAGAAACGCTACAAAATCTGTACTGAGGTCTACGTTGCCATGCTAGTCAAATTTTATCCAAGATTCCTTAAAGCTGCACTGTGAAACTTTTTGGTTTGGCGTCCGTTAACCTGCTTGTTTCCATGGGTATGTCATTGCTCTTCTTGGAGTGTTCCACAGTACGACGTTAAAGGTTTTATAGCTCAGAAATATCTAGAAAAACAAGCATTCTGTGAGCGGGACTGCCTCTCCACAGATCTGACCTGCAACTTGGTCTGGTTTGATCTCCGTAAAGATACTGTGAAACATTCCGGAAGAAGCAATAACATCCCCTTGGAGAACAGCATTTGACGGACTCTCCAACCAGAAAAGTGACGCGATCCACCTTTAAAACAAAGCTCTTGGAAAAATTTGTTTAGGATGGCGATTGGCCCCAACAAAACTTGTAGTGTTTGGTTCACCTCGATCTGTCAATATGCCTTTCAAATATAAAATGATCGACGTGAAAGAAGTGTTTAAAGGAATAGAGAGAAAGCAGGCAAGCAGCCCCTGGATCTGAGCCTCTAACCTGCTAAACTGTGTAATCCTGTTGGGATGTGGAACTCTTTACTAACCTGTGGGCGATGGCCTACTGAGAGAAGGGTCAGAAAATGTCCACTTACTTGATTTGCTGGACAGAGTAACAATCAGAGCTGTATTTCGCTTTGCAGACCAACTAAAAGTGAAGCTGCTTTGTACAACCGCCAAGCAGCTATATGTGTTATTTTTATATTTCTGGCCTCCACTATAAAGATACAAGTCTCCACCGAATGTTACAGAACAGGTCAATAGCTGTGTATTGGTGGTATACTACGCTTTGAAGAGCTTTTCATCGAGAAGTGATGTTACGAGTCTTCTGGAAACACTGGGAGCTTAAATAAAAAGATCTATGGCTGCAAGATTAATCGGAATTGAATCGAAAGTTGAATGAACGCAGTTAGTTAAGCCAGGGGTGTCCAAACGTTTGCCATCAAGGGTCGCAAATCAAAACGCAGATGAAGTGGGGCCGATTGAGGGCCATAGACTGGTGATCAGTACAGACAATAATTCATATCTGTGCATTTACAAGTGGTTGGAATGAGCCACAAAACCATTATTCATGCTTAGGTCTTCACACAATGTGGTATTTTTGCTTTATCATGATAGATTTTCAAAAACTTGGTTAAAAAATACTGCTTAATGTAATACGGGCCATTTCACCTGGAAGCCCGAGGGCCAACAAAAATTAGTCTGAGGGCCGCATTTGGTCCCTGGGCCATAGTTTGGACATGCCTGAGTTAAGCAAAGACTGCCATTTTGGAAGTGCCATGATTTCCTTCACAAACAACTAAAGATTCTGTTTTGTACGAGCATGTACATTTCAGTCTTTCTGTCAATTATTTTGGATGTGTTTAAAATCTGAGCTTTGAAAAGTGTCCCATGATTAAAACATGAATCGTAAATCTATAAACATAATCGCAATGCTTATCAGAAAAAAACTCGCAATTAGAATTTCTGATTATCGTTCAATATTCTGCTTTTGCTTCACAACTGAGAATCTGATTTGGATCAGTACATATTTTCCCTGTGTTGTTTTGTCAATGTTTGAACAAGACACAACTTAATTAGTCACAAGATTGGCTTTTTGTTCACATTCAATTTGTAGTCAAATCATTTTTTTCTGTAGCTGGGACCTTGCCAAATCAAATGAAACAAAAAGATCTTGTTTCTCATTTTTGGAGGTAAAACTTTAAAAATGAGTGGTAATATAACTGGCAAATATTGACGTAAACATCTCCCTTAGTACATACAATGAAGTTTGTATATCTAATCAGTACGGATGTAACAATAACCGAAATATCATGATATCATATGGTCAAAAGTCTCTCAATAATATCGTGGGCCATTACAATAAATCGAATCTCATGTCTCTTTGCTTAAATGAATAATTATGGTGCAGCAATAGCTAAAAGAAACAGAGAGAACTACATAGACCATGATCCTTTGCTTTGTTTCAGTCCAATACACGCATCAAGAATCTCAGACTTCCGGTCATTGTGCAATGCATACTGGGAAGGATTTTCTGAAAAAGTGAGCATCAAACTGCTGTATTTGTTTTTCCAGTGGGATGTGTCTATTGTCAAAGTCGATCTTTTCAAGTCTTTTGAACCATATCACTTTTGTTTCTGGTTCTGATATTGTCATATTTTAGTTTTGGGATTTGGACATTGTTAATTGTGTGATTGTTGGATCCTAACAGTGGAAAACAGCTCGAGAAATTGGTTTGCGAACTCCATAAATGCAAAAGGGAATCAGATTTGCTTTTTTTTTTTTTTTTTTTTGCATCTATGGAGTTCGCAAACCAATTTCTAGAGCCATTTTCCTCTGTTAGGATCCAACAACCACACAATTAATGATGTCCGAATCCCAAAGCTAAAATAAGACAATATCAGAACCAGAAACAAAAGCGATATGGTTCAAAAGACTTGAAAAGGTCGGCTTTGAAAATAGACACATCCCACTGTAAAAACAAACATGGCGATTTGATGCTCACTTCTTTGGAAAATCCTTCCCAGTATGCATTGCACAATGACCGGAGGTCCAAGATTCTTAATGCGTGTATTTACACAATGAAATAACTATTAAGCACTTTTAAATCTTAAATCTTTGGGTTATGACAGACCTTGACTTGACCAGACTTGTCAAGGCATCTTTAAAGGACAAAAGTAGTATATTCACAATTCTGTTATCACAATAAATATCGTATCATGAAAATATCATATCGAGAAATTTGGATATTGTTACATCTCTACTTATCAACAAACTTAAAATCCATTTTTATTCTTTGGGTTTTAACTTTTAACACTGTCAGTTGT